CGCAAGAGCGTAAGCAATATCTGTCTTGCAAATCACATCCACCGGACGATTTTCATCATCAATTATTGGTAAGCTAGAGATACGGTAATCGAGCATTTTTCGCGCTACCGTTTCCAGATTATCCTTTTCAGAAACCTGAATAGAAGAAAAATGTATCAATTACTGTTGAAAATAATTAATAAATTAATTTTAAGAATGAAATTCTCATCAATTAATGAACATTTTTGAACTTTTCTTATTATTTGCATAAATTACGATCGTATCGTTTTTTTTTTACCGTTCATTAGCCTACCAACGGTAAAGCTGCAATTTTGATATTATTTCATTATTCAATCAAATTCATAATTAAAACTTCGAATTCGGTTGGTATTTTTAAATCAACTCTCTGTAAGTTTATTTTTTACAATTCCGCTTCATTAATTATTCCGTCATTGTATCTGCTCCTAATTTTAAATTCGAATTTTGTTTTGCGTTTTTTTTTGTCGTTTTCTTCTCAAATTCGATAATGCCAATTAAATATAGCAATAAATAAATTGAATACTGAATGAATTACTCAATTTATTTCTCACACTGCTAAATCATTTATTGTTTATAATCAGTAGGCAAGTAAGTTAGCATTGAAAACAATCATTGATTGTTGAAAAAAAATTAACTTACCGTTTGCAAATTTTTCCATGTGCCTATTTTTGATTTCTTGATATCCCAATCAAGCCAAGAGGCAAAATGCAGTGAACGATTCTGAAAATAATAAATTTTTTCTAAAAAATAAAACGGATTACTTAGCAGGAAATTTTTTTATGGCTATTTTTACAGGTTGTAATATTTCACTGCATTATTTCTTTATCACTTTCCATAATTGTCATTGTATCAAAATGAGTAAATTAATTTAATAATTGCGGACCTGTTTATGAACTGCTTGTAAAATCCGTTTAATAGTAAGTAAATACAGAATATCACCATTGTGATCCGGATAGATTACTATTCGATGAATACGATTAGAGCAAAATTCATGACATGCTTCCAGCAATCTAAACTTTACTATTTTCAAAAATTTTATAAAATTAAATGAAATAACTTCATCAGTTTCCACAATTGAAAAATGATGAAATCCACTGAAAGCCTAAGTTTTGATTTTGAACATTTCAATCATTTCATCTAATTTCATAGCAATCAAAGAAAATTATCATTAAATTAACGAAATTAATAAATTTCCATGTATTATAGCTTTCTCATTACTATTATAAATTTATCATTTTGTTACAAAATTAATGACGTCAAGTAATAATCTAAACAGTTAATAGCCTCAAAAATTGTAGTAACGTCAATTATTCACGTCTTTCTTTTTGCTCTTTCTTTGCATAAATTAATAATTTTCTTATATGAAATTAATTCATCTTTAATAATTTTTATTAGACGAAGTTTGAATTAATAAATGAAGATTTTTATTAATTCAAATTAATAGATGCAAAAATTAATCAATTAATAGTTGTTAGTTTAATAACATTTATTTTTTTAAATGAAAAATGAATAAATATATATCTATAATTGTCACTAACTTGCATGATCCATCAAGCCAAACTAATTGGTTCATGGAAATGGCTTCTTCAACGGTTGTTGTTTCTTGGCTTGTTTTCGACAAAAGTGAAATGAGAAAATCGGTAAGTGTAAGTATCGCAATAACACCTTCCCGATTACTACACCATACAACCACCGAACCAACACCCCATTCGATCAATACTTTAAAAGCTTTTTGCAACTGCAATCATTCTAATCCTTTATCCCTCAAATAATATAACTAAAAAAAAAAATTGCATCCGAAAAAATTTTTTTAGAAAATTGGTAAATTAGCTAAAAAAACTATGGATATCAATTGAATGCTTAAAAAATTTATCAAAATTTCATTTCAATTTCTATAATTTTTGTATTTTATATTTATATTCAAATTTCTTTTTTTTTTCTTTCATTTTCTGTTACATAGACAGGTATGTTAAAGATATACATGCATATGCATAATTTACCTTCACTTTACTATCCACAAGAATAACTCGACCAGCGTGTGGTGCTAATTCATAACAATCTACTATTTTCATATATTGCTTGTATGGATCCAAATTATTATCTGAAAAATTGAAAATTTAACTTTAAAAACCAAAACCATTCCGAAATATATCAATTTAAAAGAAAGAGTTTAAATTTTGTGTCAAAATAAGTATAGAAATAATGTCATAAGATATTATACCTATTCGAGTAAAATTGTTTTTTAAATTTAAAACACAAGAAAAGGAATTTGACAAAGTTTTATATCAATTAATTCAACAATTCAACGTACCTAAAAGGCCAACAACATCTACTGATACTGGACGTGAAGTTTTCCGTAAAATTAAAAAATCCTAAAATACTATTGTAATTAAGTAATAAAATCTAGTTATTCAACAATGCAAAAAAAAGAAAAACAAATCCTCAATGATTTAAAATTTCTCCGTATGGATTTAAAAAATCAAAAATTTGTCAAGCATGTAAAAGATAAACAAACTGACAATGAAACTGTTGTTTCGTTTTCATTTTCATCTTTTTTTAAAAATATAAATAAAATTTCATATATTTCAGTTAAATCGAATTGTTAAAAATAATTTTTATTGATAAAAATAAAAACAACAACAAAAAAAAATACAGCTAACACTTTTTTTTTTTCACAAATATATCCATCATTTATGCTATCCATTTTTTTTATATTGTTTACTTTTCTTTTTCATTCATATAAGCTATCAAATTTTTTTTTAACCATGAAATATTTTAGATTTAAACCAAAATTGATATGTAAATTTCAATTCAAATCAAATCCCGCAAATTTCAATACAAATGAAAAAAGAGAACAACAAACAGAGCTATTTGAGCGTGGTCGACGAAATGCTCTCGCATCATCATAAAGATCATATGATTCGCCATCATCTCTTAAATCATAAACTGATTCCACCGGACAACATTCAATCTGAATATTAGTATAAATGAAAAAAATTTCAGATTAGCAATGATAAGATATTCTTATCATTCTGTTTCCAATCATTCAATCATTATGATATGTTTTGAAAAAAATTTTTAAATTACTCAAGTGAAATTCTTAAAGACTGAAGTGAGGATGGATTTCGCTTAACACAGGACGAGTAATTTGAATATGAATTAATTGATCTGATTAATGATCTGGCTAATATAGTTTGATAAAATGGAAGAATGAATGTGTAATCCATCTAATAAAACGTGAAAAATGGAATAATGTAAATAATCTTTAAAAATTTACTTATTTCTCCTTTTTTTTTTAATTTTTGAAAATATTTATTCTAATTTTAAACGAAGGAAAAAATTGATAATTTAAGTTCGTTAAAGTGAAGAGCAAAAATTTCCATCAACATAGTTCATGAATTTTCAATTTCTTCTTCTTCATTAAATGAGCATTACTCATAGAAAATAATAATTCATTTTTTTCAAAATTTGCTTTTCCTTCTAAAAATTTCTCCGATAATTTCGCAGCAGTATAAATGGGAAAGAATTAAATGAAAAAAATAATTATATAAAATCTTGAAAATGCTAGTATCTTCTAAAAAGAAAAATGTAAACGAGAAAAAGATGTCAGAAATCGAAAATTATTTATGGATAAAATAGTTTAAAATCATGCAAATAATCGATAAAGATTTACATTGCAACAAATTATTGCTAAAAATTGTCAATTAAATAATTCATTGTTGTGTTTACAAAAAATTCAAATTATTTATTCATTATTGAAATTTGTATATTTAACTGTCATATGATTAATTTAATGCCAAACTAAAATATTATCAATCTGCATCCAAATCGACTATCACTTTTTGAAGTCTTTCCAATTAGGGGTCAATTAAGCGATCGATTCTATTACTGACAAATCACTGATAATAATCTATAAAAAAAAAAACCTCCCCAAAAAGGCAACCAATCTTCGATTGTGTCAATTCAAAGCTCTATTTAAAACAATTAAATCAAAACAAAAATTTTATAATAAAAAGATTTATTATTTTTAAAATTTCAATTTTCGCTAGTTTAATTAAACCTGAACACGTCTTAATGGCTTATTTATGGGTGGCCATGGAACTTTTTGCTTTTCATTGCTGCCCATTGATTCGCTTCGTGGACGTCCAACTAAAACCCGTAAACCTGAAGGCAAAAAAAAAGTGATAGAAAATGATTCACTTTGAAATCGTTGAATATTTTTGTTAGGAAAATTATTGCTTGAATAGATTGAATTTCGCAACGGAATTAGGAATTTGATGGAAAGACTGAAAGGAATGATGAAACTAAATTTAAACATTTAAATGATATGACTAAATTTTTTTTTGCTTAATTTTTGCTTGCTTCTTCTCATATTTCATTTCTGTTCTAGAATTACGATATAAATTTTAATTCATTTGAAAATTCAAAAGAATATCTCTTACAATCCAACATATGATGTAAATCATAGCTTATGATACGATATTATGTGATCAAAATCGAATTGTCATTTCTAGTAATTTAAAATATGATATCCCATAGATCTTATTGTAAATGATCTAATAAATCATACTGTAATAACTTACATCATGCTGTAATGCAGTAAGTATGCTATTACGTATTTTTGATATCGGTGTAAGAATAAAAAATACGAAGAGATAATTGATCTCCAAGTCCAAATGCTTCATTCATATGATAAAAACAAATTTAATATGTTTATAAAATTAAATTAAAATACAGCAAAAAAAAATTTTACTTTCAAGTTTAATGGTATATCAGTTAAACAAAATGATTAATTTAGCAGGATCAAAAATCGAAAAAAAAAAAGCAATTGCTAAGATGAATTTGAAAGCAAACAAATTTAAACAGGAATAGAAAATTTGGCAAATATCAGAACAAACATCGATCCTATAAAAATTCTTTGAAAATGTAATTAAATTGGGTCATTAGACTCAATTTGATTGTTTCATTACGGTCGTTCAAATTGAAAACAGTCTTAAATGCAATTAATTATTCATCCTTCCTATTTTTCCGCCACCATGAAAGGTCATTTATTCTCTGTGAAATCTTTAGCATTTTTTGATAAACTCAAAAAGAAAAAATTGAAAATTTCAATTTACTACAAATTTCCCGCTTACTTAGTAATTTATAATATACGTTAAACAAGAAAAAAAAGGTAAAATAGTAAATAATCAATGAAGTAAGATAAGTAAGCAGAAGTATGGGAAAAGAAAAAGATAAGAAATAAATTTTTGTGAAAGTGCAACCAAAAAAAAAAATTTTTTTTCAGTTGATTTGAACTATCGTATAGAATTAGAATTTTATGGTATTTCAAGCAGATACTAATGATTCTTATCATTTGCATTCCATTATATCGGAAATGAAATTAATTTGTCCTTTCCTTTCCCATTAATTTCATAACAGACAGAAATTTTCCAAAAAATAAATAAATAAATTACATCTCTTTTTTTGATATAATTTCTGTGGAAGTGCAACCAAAAAAAAATTTTTTTTCAATTGATTTGAACTAATCTGTCGGTGAAATTTGAATATAATTTTAGTTGTATGAAGATCAGTATTTTATCTGATTTGTTAATCACGGTTGTGATGACATTCGGGATCGTCTTATAACAAATATAAGAAAAAGTGTCGTGGAAAGCCAAAAAAAACGAAATTGTAATGAAATGCATAAAATCACTTTGCAAATTTTAAAATAGAAATTTAAAACGATTCATACTGATGTCAATATATCAATCATACTACTATAATAGAGAAGATTATCAAATTTATTCGTACGCATATGTACCATATAAAACTCATTAAATTAAATTGATGAAAAATAACAATAAGTTTAGATAACAAAATTTGTAAATATATCAAAATTTGCGATTCATAAAACTTCAAAAATTACAAGAATAAAAAACGAACAAAAAAGAACAAAAAAAAAAGAATATTTCGGAAAATATCTGAGAATGATTGAATATTGAATAAAATAAGGTCGGGATTTAAAATTTACACAAATAAATATGCAAAGAAATAAAAGATGGAAAGAAAAAAGAAATAAAAATGAAATTTTATATTCCAATAATTATTCAGTGATTGTTTGACATTTAAAACGAGAAAGAAAATAGTACAATGTTAGAATAAACGAAAAATTTACAAATATAAACAGAACAATTTTTCAAAGTGTAAAAAAATAATGTTGAAAAAAATAAATGGAAAGAGTATCAGTTCAAATTTTTTGCCTTAATTTTTTTTCCTCTTCATTCATTCATTTCATTCATTCATTCATTCATTCAT